GCTAGGGTCACGAATTTTGGTTGGTAGATAGCTCTTGGGGTAGGGAAGAAGTGACATGAGTTTGGGTCCCCTAGCGCCTTGTTCTGGAACTGCAGGAGCATTTGTTGAAAAAAATTTGAAGGACGATAACCCAAGAACCGGTTGACGTATTGTCGTGATTTTTGGTATGTAGGTAGTTGAAGTGATGCTTGACATAATCAGATGGCAATTATGCAAATCAGGAGCTAATTTGCATAATTAATGAGGAAATTCTATAAATCTGATTTGTTCGATAATAGAACTATGAAACAGTTATAACATCTACTTGAGAACGAGAAAAACATCTGAGGATATAGATTATGTAAATGAGGACCTAATTTGCATAATTAATGGGAAATTCTTATAATTACTATAGTTGCAACTGCTGCACCCCGAATTTCATACTTGCCACATTTGGAAGTTAAGTGAAGGTGAACATCAATAAACATAATTTATTCAAATCATGACCTCATTTGCATAATTTATGAGGAAGTGCTATAATAGCCTTTTTGTTATGATAAGGCTGTCATTGGATGGAGAATATGATCAACTGATATAATCCATGCAAATGAGGCTCTTATTTACAAAATCAATGATTAAAATGTAGAATTCGTCACCCGCAAGGGCTAACATCTTTTGGCGAAGGTATGAGATCGTGGAACTCTTGTTTGCCCTACTAGTGGTTGCAAAATATCAGCTCTTATACACAATGGGATCCGGAGCATGTATATCTGCCACTGTACTGCAAGCATGTTCAAAGAGTCATCCCCAGACTATTTCTGCTAAGATTCTGCACTTTATTTGTTGAAATGAGTAGCACAATGAGTTGGGGTGGTTCCGCGTAAACATTCATGATGGCAGACCCTAGTCACACTCTTTAATCCATTTCCAGTGCAGATGCAATTCGAATCAGCAAAGAACAGTGGGAATGCATAATTGTATAACTGGGCAGATCAATTCTGAAACAACTTGATGATTGAACCAGTTCAATTTGTGAATCTGAATGGGGTCTTACTCTACAGAGTATTTTCCTGTAGTAGAAAGTATAGATAATGCGGCACCTGTAAGACCAGTAGGACATGTACAGATGAACCCATCCTGAGTGTCTGTGCAGGTCCCACCATGCTGACAGGGGGCG